TTTTTTTTTTCTATTAAGATTAAGATATTGGTGATAGTTTCTATTTTTTTATTAGTTCCTAATTCTAAACCAAAGACAGTTTTGTTTTTTTAGAGGTATACTTTTTATGTTTTTACGAAAAATTGCAATTATATTATGTTACTGTTTGTATTTTTAGTAGCGTTTTTAGACAGTGTTTAAAAAAAAGTAAATATATAAAAAATATATTTGTTGTTTATTTTAAGCCTCCCCCCCCCCCCCTTAAATTTTTAGACCGTCGCGGCATGTAGCGGAATTTTGCGATACGTGTGACGGATATTTTAAACTTCGCTCTGGCAACACTGCATGACCATAATACACTAGTTTGCACCTCGGCTCCCGTTCTCCAGTGGATAACTTCGACACAAAAACCGTCGCCGGGCAATCAGCGATATGCCAAGTAACAATGCATCGTAGTGCGCTATGCGATGACGATACGAACTGGACAACGCTGGCAACATCCAAGGGTCCGACTGAAAACGCCATGTAGAACTGAGCGGGTAGAAAAGGGAGGTGAAACTCATATGGGCGAATAGGAAACAAAGCAGTGTTGCTGGTGCACAATATGACAACCATGTCGCACCATCAAAAAATGGCGGCTTATTCCCAACTGACGTTGTCTGATTGACCAGATTTAAATTTCCGGTAGGTTTCTTCCTGTGCTTTGCAAAAATAACCTTACTTTTTTCAACATGAAATTTTCGTAACATTTCATTTTAATTCAATAAAGTCCCTATTATGTTATTTGAGCCATATGTCTTTTGTTCAGAGTTGTGAAGTATAAAAATGTAAGTACACAAAGATGCAATATGTTTGTAAACACTATAAGTCAGTTTTTAAGGAGATCCAAGTCAGTAGCCAGGCTTCTGGCAGATCCTGAGGAAGATCAGAGATGCAGCGGCTACTTATTTGAGGAATATAATATTTGAAGATCGTACCTGTTTGAATCTCCACCTCACTTTTTGAACAGTGGAGCGCTACGAAAAGTTCAACAGCTGCCGTTGTCAACCCCTGAGGTGCTGAGAATTATCAGAAGTTCGGAGATTACTTCTGATCTAACCAAAAGGCACAGCTCGCTTATGACTCGATAACCAGTGATAATTTGTACTGCTTTTTATCCAAGTTAGTTTTCATACTTCGTATTGAATCAGCTATATTCAGAGCAGCAGGGTTGATATGCAGTGCTCACTATAATTTCAATTAAATCGACCCCACATGTTATTGAACAATAACATAAGGCGGTGTCAAGAGGGCCATGATCTCTCCTGGGAATCCGGTTTGCATATTTAGCATTCTTTTGTGTACAACTTTGAGAATTTTTTAGGATTTATCCCCCCTGAGAAAATTGCTACCTCTGCTCATCAACAATTTTTGGGTCCGTACAATTTCACAAAAAGTTAACTCTTGATGATGATCAGCACCGCTGAGAAACATTCCTGTGGGTACCCATGGAGAATAATATTATTGTTCTAATAAAAAAAGAAATCTATGAATTGTATTAACATTTCAACACAATTCCATTTTTTCCTAATTTTTGATTTATACAGGTGCCAACAAAAGCGAGGGGGAATGAAAACATCTGGACCATAATGATGTTAATACAGATTTGTTTGCAGAAAAATGTATGATATATATATATATATATATATATATATATAACAAATATATATTTAGGTATTTGCAGTATATGTTTTTCTTCTGAACCTTTCCAGGTTAGTAAGTAGATATGAGTGATCTTATAACAGCTTATACTGACGTTGCTATTTCAACATACAAAAAAGCACTTATTCCTCAAGAAAGCGCAAAACACATGCTGTTATTGTTAATAACACATGCTGTTATAATATCCCATATCTCACGAAATTTCTATATATAAAAGTATAGCAATCTCAGATTTATATGTAGAGCTGGCAACGTTGCGGGATATTAATGCGCAATCCACAATCATGTCGCACCGTTAAAAAATGGCCGCTGACAACCCCACAAGTCACCGTGTTGCCATTGAATAGTATGGCATTAAACCTTCTTCAGTGAATATGTTTTGTGGTGTACAATGCAATTATGATGTGAGATCTAGCGGATATTCCTGTCACCGGAATATTGCACCCATCGCCTTAACAGTACATACACAAAAAATATACACTGAAGGAATGCTTACTCAGTGCAATTCAACCAGCAACACGAATGTCGCCATGTTTTTGTGGTGGTAGAACGAATATGACACAGAAAGAACGCCTGCCTACTCAGAACAATTCGACGAATGACATATGCCGCCATGTTTTTTACAATGGCATACGGCGCTGCAATTGTGGTTGCCTACTTTGTCACCACATCTGTCACTCATTGCCATCTTTATTTGGTTGTTTTGAATGGTTTTCCTCATAGCAAAAATCAATTTTGCATTAGGAAAAACAATTCAAACACCTCACGTGTATTTGTGATTGGATTCGTTCAACAGTGATAAATTAAATAATATAATTGGGAAAATAACTTTATTCTGGTAATGTGGTGACTTTGCAATATAGTGGAATGAAGAATCAGAAACCCCGATAGGAGGTTTTTGAATAATAATTCCAATATACATCATAAAGAAACTACCAAAAACCCATGATACAACACTCAACAAAAATTCAATAACAGAAATATTGTGAAATCTGTATGTAAAGGGTACAAGATTTCGTTAATCAAACATAACATTACACTTCTAAATAAAAATTAATTTGCAAAATTTAGCCTATATAGTAATGAAAACAAACATTTAATTTACATGAGTAAGGCCTGTTTGTATATCGTACAGGCCATATATAGTAATTAAATAACTTAACATAAAATTCTGAAAAATAAAATAAAACACAATTCTATCACAATCTGGTAAAAATGTTTTGGACAGGTAAGTCAAAGCCAGGTTTGTGATGGTTCATCCATGGAATTACATGAAATAAAAAACCAGCAGCAAATATTCGGAAATGATTTACCTGGTGGCATTCAACTTTTTTATTTTCCTTGAATGACCATCAGACGTTTCAAGAGGTCTTTTCAAAGAAATTTTATGTTTAATATACTTAAAGGTTGTCAGTCTGATGCATTTGTTAATGATATTTTCGAGGACATCATGAATATTGCAAGGCTGACGATTTTCAAGCAGTTTCGTCAGACCTGTTTTGAAGGTGGCTTGAACATTAGGCAAATGTTCAAACTTATCCAAAAAAACTATACAATTTTACATGGATAACATCTAGTAGATGACTTACGAGTAGTTTGTCATTTGCGTATGTCAGCCTCTGCTTGTTGTCCTGTTCCTTGAAATGAACATACAACTGTAATGGGGTCAAATCATCAGAAAACAGTGCTTCCCGACATTTAGGGCATTGGGGGATGTTAACATTCTTTGTGTTATGGTGAATTTGATACATTTTAGATTCCCGTTCTGTTAATTTACTTTTACTTCTAATTGTGTAAGGCATCAACTCGAATTGTCTGACAGAAATCTATATTTATCTAGGTAATGAGTCTGTACCACAAAATCTGGCTTATAATAGCAGTGATCGTGTTCAATTGTACTTACATCTGTCAAGTCTTTTGGTACTTTTTTGGCAGTCAATTTACATATCTTGCTGCAGAAGTTGAAGGAGAATCACAAATGCTTGCTGAGAAACCAACAGAGCATTCCTTCAATGAAACTGCAAGACTAATGGTTTGACTTAGAATTGCACCAACATCTTTTGGAACTGCAAGACAGTTCAAATGTGAATAGGGATCCTGAAGAGAAACATGATCAGACAGTACAAAGTGGTCTTCACAAACGTAGAAGTTATCAGATTTTGTACTGGAAGCTAATCCACAGGCATAGTACCATAATTGCCTGTGACTGGGATTTTTTGGAAATCCATAAAATTTCTTGGATGGAATATATGAATGAATAACATTCAATATATATTTATTTTGGCATGAAGGATATAGGCACTGTCGTGTCCATTTCTTGCTTTTTTTTGTTTTTGCCGTAGTAGTATCAAAAGGCTTTAAGTGAAAAATAACAAATGCCATGAGCAACTTTACAATATTATCAAAACCAATGTCATGTAGGTACTCAACTGTATTTTTTTAAGCCACTCCAATCTTGAAACATGAGTGACAGAAACTGGAACTGAAAATACTGAAAATCATTTCTTGAAACACACGATTTATAAAAAATAATGTAGGCACAGAGGAACCGACTGGAGGGTGGAGTGAGATAATTTTACTCGTTTTTTTTCTCAAGGTGGACATAAACGCATGCTTCATTAAAGGTTTGATGACATACTCTAAATTCCAATAATATCAAAAGTAAAATTGCTCTATTTCATTATCACATCTTACCTATATTCATTATTTTGACAGCAGAGAGCAGTGGCGTTGAAGAAAGACGTATGAAAGACAAGTGACACTATCAAGACAAGTGATCAATTTTGACAGTGTTGACGGCCATTTTTTCACTACGAAAAACGTTGCCAGATTTCCTGTGTTGCACCTTGTCAGACCTCAGTGGACCACACGTGAGTACATAAGAACTCCAGCGCGCGTGTTATATAAATTTATTTCCATAAAACACATAAGACTCTATCTATAAGCTCTCTAGCGCAAAACATATACACTGAAGAAAGTGCAGTCACGTGCTATCATAAGGCAACACGATTGATTTATGTCAGTGTCAATCGCCTTTTTTGTCACATGGTTGCCAGATTGTGCACGAACGCCGCATGCGACGTTGCCGGCTCTTTGCATAAATCTGAAACTGTCGTATAATTTTATAATGCTAATGATATATGGAAGATTTGATAACGCCATGTGTTATTAACATAATTTTGTTGTTTTTACAAACAAGTAGTTACTTATTACAGCATGAATAAGACAGGCCATTATAAAATCATCCATACATACCAGTTATTTGAAATTTTGAGAACAGTAAAAAAAATCTATACTTGAAAATATATCTTTATCTAAATTTTTATTGTATAAACATCAATTTTATTATGGTCCAAATATTTTCATTCCTGGTGGTCTTCTGCAGCACCTGCATCGAAAAATTGTTAGAATTAGTGAGGAAAACAAATTCTGTATCCTAGAGTTACCAGATTTTTCATAAGAATTATAATACAGGAATATCTTCGCACATACCCCCAACACTGATATTCAGAATGTAAAAGTTTTATGGAAAATATGATTATATATAATTTAGGAATTCTTACAGCATCGTTAAAATATATAAGATTTTATATGATTCAAACATGTTGACTATATATTATCAGGATATCTGACTTTCGACTCACTTTTATCAGCTTCTCTTTAAGCTATCAATATTTAAATAAGTAACAAAACCCTTTATGTTGAAGTACGAGGAGGTACTCAAAAATAACCGGAATAGCATAGCAGTGGGCGGAGCTTGTGTAGTACACATTTCTGCCCCTACTGGCGTACAACGCAACTCATTACCAGTTCAGTGCCACCTGAGTTGTCGATCCGGCTTGTTTCGTTCCTCTGTAGTCATTATTTTTGCAAGAGCTGTTTGGTGCTTGTTTTGTTTTTCACGATGGCAAGCGTCAGTGAGCAATGTGCAGCTGTTAAAATTTACTTTCCAATTGGTAAAATGCTGCTGAAACTGTTTTAATGTTGAAAATAGCTTACAAAGATGATGCTTCGGGAAAAACTCTGGTGTACGAGAGGTTTGCTCGATTTAAAAATGGCGACGTGTCGATTGATGACAAACCTCGCTCTGGTTGTCCATCAACTGCCCGAATCGACGAAAATGTTGAAAAAAATCGAGTGCCTGTGCTTGCAGACCGTCGACTAACAATCGATCAACGATCCTTAAGTAGTGGGTTGTCCTGGAGTTCGGTTCAGCGAATTTTAACCGAAGATTTGGGAATGAAGGGGGCTGCTGCCAAGTTTGTTACTTGGCCTTTGACTGACAATCAAAAAGAACACCGAGTTGAAACATTTCGTGCATTGAAAAAACAGATTGAATCTGATCCAAAATGTTCTGTCAAGGATCATCACTAGTGATGAGACTTGGTGCTACGATTATGACCCAGAAACGAAGCTGTAGTCAAGTCAACGGAAGACGCTATCGTCACCCCCTCCAAAAAAATGTCGTCAAGTCAAATAAAACATCAAAACAATGCTGATTTGGTCATCATGAAGTCCATCCCGCGTTTGTTCCCCCAGGTCACACTGTCAATCAGACGTTTTATTTGGAGGTTTTAAGACGATTGCAAAACAGTGTTCGGCAAAAAGACCCAATTTGTGGCAGTCAGGCGACTGGTTCTTCCCCCACGTTAATGCAGCTTCGCACACAGCTATCCCTGTTCGACAGCTAGTGGCTAAAAATGGAATGGTTCCGCTGCCTCTCGCACCTTATTTGCTGACCTGACTCCGTGCGACTTTTTCTTATTTCCACGGATAAAAAGGGGCATGACAGGACGCCGCTTTGACGACATTGAAGAGGTCAAGAAAAAAGGAGGGAGGAGCTGACAGACATTTCTAAGGAAGACTTCAAAAAATGTTTTGAGCAGTGGAAGCACCGGTGGGACAAGTGTATCAGTTGTATTGGACAGTATTTTGAAGTAGATAAGGTTACTTTGTGAAAAAGTTGAAAATAAATAGCTTTTAAAGAATAATACCGGTTTTTTGGGTACTTCCTCGTAGATATTCAAACTTGAAATCTACGAAAATTGTCGTTAGATTCTCATATCATCTACAGAATAAGAATATTAACAGCGAATTTTTACAAATCACTCGATTTGACATAAACTTAGTATGATTGTGAAACACATTTAGCCATGGTCCTGAAGTACTCAATTGTCGAGATATATGCCCCCCTAGAACAAGTAATCTATATTCTATGTATCTATCTCTAATCACCATGGGTTGGTAGTGGAATGAAGTGCCTTCAACTCTGCTTCTTGAATGTTTCATAGCGCTCCACATATGTGACTGTTGAATCGAGTAGAAATCCTCAATAGTCGTAATGATATAACAAATACATCCTTCCAATATAGAATCTCTCTATCACTAAACCCTTTCTCAGGATGCTCCGTTTGTCGATTACAATCACCTGGAAGGAAATGGGTTGTTATACAATTTCACCGATATGTTAGGTGTTATACTCCAGATTCCGAAGTTCATCATCTCAACAAAAAATGTAGCTTAAATAAGAACTAACTAAATGTGTCGTTACGAAAAATTTACCTTCGAAGCCATCCAGTAGAGGTGTTGAAAAAGTAACTATTGGTTACTCGAGTACTAGTTGCTCATAGATACCCGAAGTAACGAGTACCAATAGAAGCACGAAATGATTTCTTTGACTACTTTGATTACTCTGTTCTCCGCATCCGTACGTTCGCGTAAAATCATTGATCGTTTAGTGGCTGGTTCCACTGTAGCGCTGCCGCTGATGCATCAGGGTTGCCAGATATGCGACATTCGGGTGGAAATCTGGAAACTCCAGATTTAAAAACAATTACCAAATTTCTGAGTCCTCTCAATGACCATCCTCTTAGCATCGAAAACGTGTTGTTCGACAAATTTGTATCGTATAAATAGCTCGATGGAAGGCATTGCCGCCCTCTCAATGATCCTTCTAATTGTAAAACCTCTTGACGCTTCGGTCCCCGATCAATAACCTATTGTATAGAAAATAGAAAAGAGTCGACTCTCAATGGGCATGATAATTCTAAAACCTATTATCGGTTCGGTCACCGACCACCAGCGTATTCTAAAATGGAAAAGAGTCGACGGGCGAGGCATTGTTGCCCTCTCAATCGCCTCTTAGCAGTTCGGTGGTGTAGAATAGAAATAGAAATGTTGACAGTATATTTTTTGTAGACTACCTGAACTATCAAATAGCTTGTATGCGTCTGTGCTGTAACGTAATCCAGCTCTGGTCATGTAAATAGCTCGACCGAACCTATGGTGGTGAGGTGAGGGGCGGGGTGTTTTCTGACTCCTCTTAATGACCATTCTCATACTATCGAAAACGTGTTGTTTGATAGTAATGTGACGAAGGACGTTGTGTGGAGAGGTGCCCTGAAGTTTTCCCCTCCTCCTCCTCCTCGACCGCACAGCCGCAAGCAAAATATTATCGGACTATCTCCCGGTCGCAGGCCATTTCTCAATAGGACAAGACAAAGTGGTCTTAACATGCATATTTTTTTAAAACCTTCTCATTCAATCCTGTATGGGAAGAAGCCTATTTTTTGTAAGGAAAGCACAATGTTTAATTTGTCACCATAGTTAACGTTAAGTCATCGAGTATTTACCGACATTATTTAGACACACATTCTACCGATTATGATGACATTCCTGGCGATGAAAGATGAGTGCGGATTGATGAATTGAGGTCAGCCCTTCAATGTTCTGAAGAGGTAATCATAGTCAGATGTGTTCATAGAGGCGATACTCAGAATTTCCACTGCTAAAACCATTGTACCAAATATTGGAAAATTTGTTGCATCGAAACGCTGTCAGAGATCATCTTAAGAATAAATGTGTTTACGTCGAATTTATGACCACTATTCTATCACCTGCGCGCTGACTCAATAATTCCAATTCAATTGTCAACACGTATGTCACTCCGCTCATTTTCCTTTGAGGTTGGCAGCCGGCGAGATTAAATTTAACCACATCGCGGATTCGACTAGACTCGATAATAATATGTATTTTTTAAGTAAATGAACAAAAGGGCTTGATATGCTTGGGGTGGATCCTGCTGACAGTACCTGTTATACCGACTTGAAGATACAACGTGACGGTAGGATTCTGCGATAACTCATACGTATGTCATATTCATTTTACATATACTTTCAAACATCTAGTAGCCATGTGTCATACTGACAAACTCAAATGAGCTTTTGAATGCAAACATAAAGCATACAAACAGGGGTATTATTTTTATCTATACCTATTTGCAATGACTGCTCTAGCTTTCAGTTGGTACGATAGGAGCTTCTGGCGGAAATAAGTTTTTCATTTCAAGTTTTTTCAAATGAGCCTAAAATTTCATTTAAACGTATGTTGTGACTTCATTGGATTCTACCAAGACGGTGACAATCTTCTTTCACGCTTTATCTTCAACTCGGTATGATAGGTACTTTCGATAGGATGCGCCCCGTCATACCGAGCTCTTCTTGTTCATTTACTTAAAAACTACATATTATTAGTAAATTTAGACGAATCCGCGATGACGGCAGATTCAGTGAGACCTGCTCCCGGACCATTTCTATTCGCCGAGCGCTACGACTACCATAAAACCTTTATCGCAATGTCCGATGTGTATGCTGCTGTCCCACCAAGCAGCTATTTTCTTTTTGAGAATTATAATACACGTATTGTACATGACGGAAAAAAATTAAATTAAAAATTAATTTAAAGGTTTATTACATTATACATAATATGTACATTTCTAAAAATCAAATAGAAGTAAAAGTGTTTCTGTTTCTTCTAAAAGCTTGCCCTTCTTCTGTTGTGCCATTTCTTTCAAGTTGTCAACCCTTTTCATCGCATCATCCACTTGCCTTTTCCTCCTATTTTTCTGTTCTGTGATTATTACTAAAATATACACACCGAGGATTTCTATGAGTTCATTAGGAATCATATCAATGAATTTGACACATCGAATTATAATGAGAACAATGAATTCAATATTCCAGTGAATCATTCGATGTTCGGTAAAATGAAGGATGAGTTTCCAGCGGATCCAATAATTAGCTTTTATGGGACGGATGCAAAAGCTTATTATATTAAGTCAGATAAAAGTGTAATGAAAAAAGCAAAGGGCGTTAAGAAGTCCGTGATACAGAAGCAGCTATCTGGGAATGACTATAAAAGAATAATCGAAGTAGGTGGGCGGATATTGAGAAAGATACACACTTTTAAAAACAAGCCACATGATGTGTACATCGATGTTGCTCACATCATGATGATAAAAGGTTCATTATTCCCAACACCACAAAAACTTTACCTTGGGGACACTCTGACATTGAGTTTTACCAGACGGACCCCTCGTTGAATATTAAATATGCTATAGGTGCAACCAATGATACTCCAGAAGGCGCTTTTCCTGAAAATGGTAATTTAGACTTATTAATAAAATTAATGTTAGAGGAAGTTTGTAAGTATTAGATTTAGATTACTTCAAGCTTGTACAGGTAAATAAAAGCAACATATAGTAAGAAAGTGTGTTTTATTCCACACTTACAAAAAAAACATTTAATAGGAATGAATAAGTCCATTTTGGATAGACCCATCAAAAGCATTGTAACTGATGCATAAGTCATGAATAACTAATGCATACACCTTGGTGTGGAATGGAAATGCAGATTTCCTGGTCTCAAATTCCAAAGATATATCTACAGTTGAAAGTTGGAGATGATCAGGCTGATGACTGCAATCAATAACGAAAAGCGGATTGTCATTAAATTCTTTAATATATATAATAGATTCAGGAAAGTTCCTGTTGTAGTATGTTCTTTGAAAGTTCTCAAATGCATAATAAGCTGCGGTGTTCAGCCTTTTTTCCAACTTCAAACTTATCAAGTTAACGTCGGCATTTATGAATTTCGTTATATCCATCCAATGATTTTCTTCAACTGTAGAATCTTGAAATCCAATGATAACGAATAGAGGACTCTCTAGTTTACTGGTTGTTCTAATTGCCCAAACATCCGATGATGTAGAACGAAGAGATGGAAGCTCATAGAGATCCCAAGATCGAAATGCTACCTTGATCCTTGAGCTCACATGTTTATTCAACCTTTGCAGAAGCTTGACTTTGTAACGATCTTCCGGAACGATGTGTTGAACCTGCCATTCAATCTTGGATATAGTCAATTCAGCATCACATTCACCTACATAACAGTTTTTGAAGGATCTTGCAATAACCAACAGAAGCTCGTGTTTTATATTTAGAACCCCTTTTTTGTAGTCTTTTGCGAATCCCATTATATGTTTTAGGGGTATCCTACCACTAAAAACTTTGCTTTTGTCATCATATATAGCCGAGTTCTCGGCACTTAAGCTCCAACCAGTACATAAATATGCATAGTTGAAGTGTTATCCCTGTATTCTGAACTCCATAAACTTTTTCGCCATCCATCTGTAGGGAAATTTCTTGAAATAAAAAGGCCAATGCATTGTTTGATAAGTAGCAGGGTTTCGTAGCGTCGCTAGGCATAAATGTTCCTTCGACGTAAATATAACTGTCAGCAATGTTTAAAATAAGATCTTATAAGTTTATAGGGATGTGAACTATATCTGAATTCTTGAAATATGGTGATCCATATGGTTTGTATGTGTTTTCTTGTAGGCTGGCTAAGGAATGATCTATGATGGGTTCCTCAAAAACATCCAATTTCTCATTTGATACGTGTACAACCATATTTTTTTATTAGTTTCAGCCCTATAGACTCCAGGAACGAAATATTCGATGCCGTGTATTTGACGATGGTTGAACGACGATTAACGGAATTTCCAATGGTTCTTCGTCTTTTATGATTAGTTGTGCGACCTTTTTCTACATTCTTCAAATGATATATATCTAGGTTATATAGAAATCACATCGTCTTCAGCTGGCACTAGACAGGCGTCGCAGTTCTAATTTGACTGTAATTTTTTCACCACGGAAATTGACCAAATTCCCGACGTCATCCAAAATTTCCAGTGTGATGTTATCAATAAACTGGCGTCTATGCGATGTGTAGATTTTGCATCTGGGAAAAATTTTGTTCTTAAATCCAAGCAAAGTTGCCATGGAATTGGACAGAGCAATATCGAATACAGAATGGAGTTCACACTTCAAAGTATTAGTGTTGGCTTTCAAAGAGAACATTTCATCAACTTTGGATTCATATCTCTCTTTATATGTATCATTCATTGATATTATTTCATGTTGTATGTATTTATTGATATCTTCGATTTCATAAACACCTTCAGGAAGGGTTACCACATTACCCTCGTCACCCTCGTGAGTAAGAGATATTTTATTATGTTGATCATGAATATTGTACATGGTGTTGTATGAATAAAAGCCAATCAACCCCAGACCATATTCCGCACTTATATCCAACTCGATTGGTGGATAAAAATTAGCAGACAGTTTGCTAGTGTAACCCGTTACAGTAAGTGTGTTAGACATGACTAAAGAATTGATGAATGAAAACATGGTCTTATATAGGTAAACAAATATTTATTGGTTACAACAGTTATTCAGATGTATTTTTAACATTGATATCTTGCATGTTACAATAACAACAAAATATTTTTCTTGGTGGCGGTCCATCTGCTTCATCAAAACTCCTGCATATTCCATGATGTTCCCAGCAGAGCTGGAATCGCTGTATATCAGCGTCCTCCTTCAAATGCTCCGGCAGTTTGTTCCATACATGTGCTATTTCATTTGGCGTGCAGCATATGAGTACCTCTTTCGGTATGTGTGCAAGTTCATCTCGCGTCATATTCAACAGGCTTCTCTCCCTTGAAAAGGCTTTAAGAGAGTCTCTAATCTTTTTCAATCCTTCGTGATCCATTGTTTTCAGCGCTCTTATGTTCTTCAGTTAGAAATCGCAGACACAAATGACCACACCAAAACGTATTGAACTGTTGTTGTCGATTATAATTGTACAAGATCTTTATCTTTTTAGACTTGTTGGTCAAATATTTCATTAGCTCCTTGGGTGGGGGTAGATTGCCGAAACTATCATAGTACCATACAACCATCCCACGTTTTATATATGAAACCCAATGTGACCCATTCCCACTCTTGTTATCTGAATTAATTATGACTGATTCATTCTTCAGCGGACCCTGCTCGGACATTTCATCGCGCATAAATACTCCTTTGAAATATGGTATTTTTAGCTACCTAGCATAATAGATTAGATCTATATTTGTTAGCGGTCGAGGGGGAAGGGTTTTCAATAGTTTTTTGAATTCCTTAACTTGATGAATAACCCCAATCCTTTACTGTATGGTTTCAGAAAGAAACCATCCCCAACTCGATTCACATTAGAAGAAGGTGCTGAAGTGGTTTTATTTTGAATTTGCTCACGCACTGAACTAGCTGTTTTAGAAGCTCTTGTTATGTTGGCAATACCCCCAGCTAGACTACCTAATGCTGAAAGACCGGCAAAAATTGGTATCAAAGGAAGGATGCCTCCAACCTTGGGAATAGGTATAACTCGTGGAAGCTGAATCAGCCTTTTTCCACCGACGGATCTGATATACTTCCGGGCAGCAAGTAATGCAGCGAAAGTCGCCTTTGCTAATACTCTCTTGTCTGGTTTACAGTTTGAGAACCTTTTCATGTGTTTGCATACTTTATTTACTGTCCCCGATCCAAAATATACCTTTTTCTGTGATCTACTTGATTTTCTACGGATAGCTTTTCTTCCTATAGGTCCACGCCATAATGCATGTCCTCCCATAGCTATACGACGTTTGACTTTCATAATACTCGATTTTCTGCAGATGTATTTTCTTCTACTCCGTCCACGACACGATGCTAGACACATTCCTGCGTGACATTTTACCTTCATGATATTAGTAACTAACCAAGCGGCAGCTTTTTCTCCAAGTTTTGCGTCTGGAGATTTGACTCTTTTCCAAGCGTCTTGCTCAAGTTGATAATCAGCAACGTGTCTCGCTCTCAAATCAAATTTCTGATATGCAATATCATGCTGTAAGCATGCAGCGTCTAATTTATTAATGCCTTTCTGACCTAGGGCTAACCTTTTATGAAGACGTGTCCCTGGACCGCTGAACTGGTAAGAAGGTAAGTGTACTTCGAATGGTAACGTATCTATCAGCGTATAGGCAAAACCACCACCACCACCAGCAGCTTTTGGAGTGCTTTGACACCTTCTAATGCGAATTAGTGGCATTTAAATAAATAAGACATACGCAATTGCGGTTTATATATGCTCAAATCGTTGTACAATGAGGGTCACAAAACAGAAACAAGAATTATGTATCAGCAATATTGATACAAAAGCGGCGGATATACAAAACAATGCTATGCAGCGGCATGGAAGTCTCCTCCCATCCACAATCCGCTGTATTATTGTTGAACCATCGAACTGTGGAAAAAGCAACGTATTAATATCGCTACTGCTACATGAGAATGGACTCTTCTTTGGAAACCTCTATATATTTTCAAAATCATTGAATCAACCGAAATATCAATTTATACAAAAAGTACTATCTTCGATCAATGGTTTAGGATATTATGCATTTAACAACAATTCTGATATTTTACCACCATCGAAAGCCAAGCCGAATTCAATATTCATTTTTGATGATGTAATGACAGAAAATCAGACTTCTGTTCTAGAGTACTTCAGTATGGGTAGGCACAAAGGTGTGGATTGCTTCTATTGTGTGCAGAGTTACAGCTGGGTGCCCAAAAGGGAAATAAGAGACAATGCTAACCTATTTGTCTTATTCAAGGTGGATAACACTCATTTATCTCATGTTTTCTCCGATCATGTAGCACTTGATATGACCTTTAAGAAATTTCAAGACATGGGTGCAATGTGCTGGAGCGATAAATATGGATTCTTAATCATCGATAAGGATAGCGCACTAACAAGTGGTCGTTACCGGAAGGGGTTTGATAGTTTCATAAATCCACTGGAAGATTAGAAACAACATCAGTCAATCGTGGGACTGCATCTAGTACGCATCGCGGTGGATTAAAAGATAGCAAAATGAAACGGCAGCAGAACGACACCGAAATGACACTCAAGAAGGAATTAGTAGATGCAGCAGAGTCAATTCGGAAGAAATTTATTACTATCAAGAAAGGACGTGAACTCCATGATAGTGCATTGCAGCAGGTATATGAGCCCATTACTAAGCAGCTCAAAACAATAGCGGAAGCATCTACATCCAGCTTGTCGAAACAGTCAACACCCCAAATCGATAGTCCAAGCATCCTAAAAAAGTATCATTTGATGAATCAAGAAAGAAATTGTTTGATGCGACCAAAGCAGGTGTAAGAAAAACTGAGTTGCTTAAGAACAGTAGTGAGTTCAATGACCACACATTTGATCTTTCCACCGACTACAAGCACACTTAGGGCACAATCTATGGAATCAAAATAATTCAGGAAACGTATTATTCGGTGACTTGACTCATACTAAACTTTCTACTATTGCCCCGATGCAAACGCAATCTGACACACATTCATTACTCGGAGCGGACGAAGAAAATTCAATGAGTAGATACTTGTCTACTTCAAATCATAGTGAAGCATCCGGATCTTTGACCAACTTTATAAATAACCATATATCTAATTTAAAAGCAAACAATCCAGGGTATGGGGGCATATCCAATGTGATAATAAATCCACAGTCGGACAAGTTATTATTTGGCAAACTCCAAGTGAGCTTTGATGTTAGTGGACGTTACCTGCTATTGGATTCTGAGAAGAAGAAGGAGAAAATAAAATTTAAAATGCCTCCCGAATTACTCGTTTTGATATTTTTGGGCAAACTGCCAGATACAAAGAATTTGACTCCCGAAACTTGAACACATTCAAAAATATAATAATTAAAACTAATGTACTTCGTAAAGCATATTGTTCTACATATGACTTCAGAAACGATGGAACTGAATATTTCGCTAAATTACTGAATATCATATCAACATCGCCCAGATGCTTGAGATTATCCGTGGGTCGGGGTATATATTTTATAGCACCCAAATATAAAATATATAAGGATAAGCAATATGAATATGTATACTGGAATAATATTAATGAGTTAATTGATAGACTGAGGGCCAATTTCACCAACAACAGTCCGTTATTCTCCACCTATAGGGTAACAGACCGTTAAATACAGCGAATGAGCCTCAAGTTCCAATCAACAAATTGAAAACAAAAATGTTGAAAACAAAATATTGTCAAAGTATGAGATGACATCTTGTCATTAAAACATCACCAGCTTATTGAATATTAAGAAATTACATATAATTCAGTCAAAATTTAAACAAATTTTTGAATAAAATTCATGTTTTAATTACCATGTTGATTTTTTATTCATTATAATATTATTTTCTTCAATTGATATGCGATTTTACTGATTCAAGATCATCTACTGGGTGTTTTTTCCTACAAACCTGTTGCAGATAGCCATTAAGTACCTACTTGATCACTGGCTCTACCAAAAAGTTCATAGATATTGCTCGTTTCCAAACATTCATTCATTTACTTGCCGTTAATCAGAACCATTACCGGCACCTTAGATTGATATTCCCACAAAACCATTCTGGTTTTTTAATATCCATACATCCATAAAGTTGAATATTTTTCGTTGTTCAGGAACTTAACAAACATCCACACTATATTCACAGCGATTAAGAAATACGCAAATATATGTCGTAGAGCTACCAGCAAACCTAAAACCTGCAGAAAAATTAGAAATTTGCAATATTGTTCTTTGTTCACTGAGTAGATATTCTGGGTTATATTTATATTAGACGTTATTTGAATACAGCTGATTATTGCATTTCAAGGAGTGACACATGTGTGGGCTCTGTCAACTCTTGGTAACAGTCACAAAACATACTCTGAAGGTGTAATTCCATGCTATTCAATCACAACACGGTGACTTGTATGGTTGTCAGCGGCCATTTTGTGAGAGTGCGACAGGGTTGCCAGATTGTGAATTAATAGCCCGTTTCACCCTCCTGGTCCCAGTGGAGTAAGTTCCGCCAACTGTTGAAATATACTCTACTATGCTTTATAAGACTATTCGTGACATTTTTCCCAAAATCATTGCACAACACTTGAAAAAATGCAAATGAAAATTTAAAATTATTTCCATGACGCCGCAAAATAGCTCCGTCGGTACCTTGGGTTATACATCTTGACAGTAGGGATGTTCGATAGGATCCTATATTTAGAAGTATCAATATATTTTACGAGTATCGTCATCTTTCGATCCGGACTGTGTCAGAAAGAGTGACTGCCATTTGGCTGCGACATTACTCTGCCAAATCGGACATATCTTTCATCATTTTCAAAGAAATTGTACAAAATCTTCAAATTTGTGAAGTTTCACTTCATACGTTCTTACCAGACATGCCCAAATCATCAGTTGCTGCCGTGATATTCATCCCGACCACTGCATCCCCACGGCTAGGCGACCTGTATGTTAAATTTGTATTGATAGGGCAGCGGGTTATGCTATAAATCATATGTCACAGTGTTTGTACACTGATTGCAACGGTTAGATGATACCAAAAATATTTTCATAAATAGGAGATCTTTCCCATTCGGGATCGAACAATCTACCAGAGATGCTTATAATCATGATACCTAGTAAATTTTCACGAAAAAAAATTCAAAACCAGCAAATGTAAAAGATTCATTTCGCACTCTCCACCACGGGACGTGATCGTCGCCAACCTTGCGAGAGACAGATAGAAGATAGATATCCCCTCCAGTCAACGACCGCCAGTCAAAAACACAAACAATAAACATTACTAGTTTTTATGATTTTTGGACTTAGACATTATTTGTGAAACATTTGTCATAATTTTTTGTCTATGTCCATAGTAATTGCATTATGCATCAGGGAGATGTAGGGATTGACACGTCTTACACATATTATCTGTGTTTTAGGATGGAGAGGACATAATGTTTTTATTGCTTTGAAGAAATTCATTATCCCATAAATTATGACATAAAGGAAGATGAGGAATTGGATGGAATGTATTTTATATTCTATTTTCTTGCAAAATACAGACAAATCCACACTATTCAACAGGTATGTAATGATAACTTTCAGTATATTGAAGTTGGTAAATTCAAGAGTGCCATGCATTAACAAACGTCCAAATCTGCTGCCAAATTTAACAGCTTGAAAATCGACCTATTATTTGCCGCATTCCCATTCGCTGAGGGGGATAACGGATTGTTAAATGTAAACCTATAACATATATCAAAATACATAAAAGTTGTCCTGTTTTTTCTGTACAAAAGCATCATGTTGGAATCAAAAAGTGGTCTTGTTTATAATACAGTCGAATTTTCACGATTTTATTCTATATTTCAATAGAAATCACTAATATTCAGAGACCTTTGACAGCTTTCGTCAAATTGCATTTCGATAAGGTATTTTCCCATTGGTCCATAATATTAATGTTGGTGAAATTGGCCCTTAGACTTGAAAACCCTGCGAGTGACTAGATATATATCCCCACCAGTCAACAACCAAACCACAAACAACAATATTATTATTTTTGGAGTTTGGAGGCTTTATTTTTCAGCTAATTACTCATAATTCGTGGTCTATATCTAGAGTAGTTGCTTTATGCACTATGGAGATGTAGAGATTGAGACGTTTTACACATATAGGTATTTTTGGATTGGAGAGGACATGCTGTTTTTATTGCTGTGAAGACATTCATTAACCCATATATTGATAATAAATTATTATTATTACCATGTAACGAAATATGAGATCAGTAGGAAAACATTTTCTTGCAAAATACAGACAAATCCGCACATTTATTTCTACAGGTATGTCGCAATAATGATAACATGTATCACAGTCAGTATGCAGTGCTAAACAAATTCGAGATTGCCATGCATTAAGAAAAGTCCAAACATGATATTAAATTTAATAGCAAGAAAATCGACCTATTATTTGTCGCATTCCCATTGGCTGAGAGATAGATTCACCCGTTAGTTGTAAATTGATAAGAAATAGCAAAATACATGAAAGTTGTCCTTTTTTCTATGTACAAAAGCGTCACGTTGGCATCAAAGTGTTTATAATACAATTGCTTTTTCACGAGTTTATTCAATATTTCAATAGAGATTACTGATATTAGGAGAGCTTTGACAGCTTCCCTCAAATTGCATTTCGATAAGCTGCACCCTTATTGGTGGAAGCCAAGGTCAAATTTGAATCTTGGTGGTGAAATTGGCTCTATATATACAGGGTGGCCCATCCATGTGTGGACGGAATATTACTCATAAACAAATACATTTTGGGCAAATCCTATCTACGGGATGTTATACATGATATTTGAGGGCACATTTCTAAAATATTGGCCAGTATACAGAGTGTCCCAATTTCGACCTACATATCAAAGTTGTGATTTTTCAAATGGAATGCCTGAAATTTTATTGCATATTTGAATAAACCAATTCAAAAGAAGAAAATTGATATAACATACTATGAGGTTTTGATTATTAGCTACTGAGATATAAGGTGTTTTGTCTATAAAAACCCCCCACTCAGTATGCCATTTTCAAATTTGGAGTGCTGAATTTTGTATCAAAAAAAACTTACACACCTCGAATTTTAATTTTTGCTCATACAGGGTGGTCAAAAATACAAATTGTAGTTTTTCTCAAAAATTTCAACTGCATCACCTTGTATATTAGCCTGTTTGGATTCAATTTTTTATAAGCTTTTTTTGATACTAGACACATAAGAGTTTTTACGGCTATTTTTTCGGTTATTAGCAAGTCTTTTATGGAACGGCTTAATTCCCTAAAATATTGCATCACCCTTGGAAACAAATAAATTGTTGATTAGTTACAAACCTTCCAAATTAGCTTTGTGAGCATTGTAATAAAAATTTGTTTGAAAATGACTTTTTGTATAGAAGAAATGGTGAATATGGTGTTCGTAACTATTTGGACACCTAGATCACCAGATATGACACCGATTGACTTCTTTCTATGTGACTTTGTTAAGCAAGAGGTTTATAGTTATCCACCATCTACTCCGGAAAATATGAAGGAAAGGATTAAGGATGCTTTTCTGAACATAAGGGAACACATGCTGAGAGATTTGCAACGGTCATTTATCCAAAGACTACGGCTGTGTATTCAAAATGGAGATATTTTCGACCAGTTTTTGTAGATTGTGGCTTGAGTAGTGATAGTTTTTGTTTATGTTGTTGTTATAGTTGTTTATCTCTATTATGCTTGAAGCTGATTTATACTGTTCTGATTGCTATTAGTTTTTACGTCAAATCTGTACTCTTAGTGGCAATATGGAACTAGCCCACTGTTTGTCTTTTGTTTCCATGGATGATGTGATTTGTTTCCTTAATTTTGGTTGTTCTATTAAAAGCCTAATAACTCAAAATCTAGTGATTTTATCTGAATCAAACATTATATCAAAAAAAGCTCATAAAAAATTGAATCCAAACTTGCACAAATATACTGGGTGATGCAGTTGAATTTTTTGAGAAAAAGTACAACTTGCGTTTTTGACCACCCTGTATGAGCAAAAATGAAAATTCGAAAAAGTAACAAATAAGATAAAAGCTGAGGTGTGTAACTTTTTTTGAAACAAAATTCAGCACTCCAAATTTCAAAATGGCGGATTGAGGGGTTGCCGAAGTGGAAGATTTTTCTGGACAAAACACCTTACATCTAATAATAATAAATAGCTTTTATTGCTCATGTAAGTACAGAAAAAGAAAAAGTACATACATCTGATGCAGTGAGCAAACGGCAAGGTTCGCTTGATTGACAACCATTAGTTGTCAATCCACGCTCTTCCACCTAACCAAAAAAAAAAGTAGAATATCAGTAATAATAACAGCGAGAGAAAAGTTAAACGTTAACACAGATACATATAGACATATTATGTTTTAAAACTATATTATACATCCATAGATGACATATAACTGTTGCAGGCAGATCAACCGAAAGACATACAGAACAATAATTGGCAAATCAGCGTGCAGTGTTAAATTTAAGTCATCTCAAGTCTCAACATAGTCTTCACTTCTCGCTTAAATCTCAAAATTGATAGGGCTCTAATTCTATCGGGCAGCGAGTTGTAAACCTTAACTATGTCATATGAAAAAGAGCACTTATAATTTGAAGTTTTAAATTTAGGTAGTGAGAGTAGCTAATTACCAAAACCCCATAGTATGTTATATCAATCTTCTTCTTTTGAATTGGTTTATCTAAATATGCAATAAAATTTGAGGCATTCCATTTAAAAAATAACAACTTTGATATGTAGGTCAAAATTGGGACACCCTGTAAAATTACCAATATTTTTATGTATAAACATGCCATAAATAGAATTTCCTAAAATGTATTTGTGTATGAGTGATATTCCGTCCACACATGGATGAGCCACCCAGTATATACTATATATACAAGGTGGGCCATTTAAAGTGGAAGCATCAAGCAACCCTATATCTTTGACATTAGTTGTCGACTAATCGACTAATCTCATACCGCGTTGGAAGCGTCATTTCAGTACAATTTTAACCATGGAACAGTAGACACCAAAACAACGCGATGAAATAATTCAGTTGTACATTCAAAATAACTTCTCAATCGTGAAAACTAAACGTGCGTTTCGTAAAAAAAAATAAAGTCAAAAGTGCTCCAGCTGATAACACTATCAGACGTTTATAAGCAAAATTTGTGAACACCGGTAGTCTTAGTAATGCCAGTCACCTATCCAGACAACGAACAAGAAAATATCGAAGCCGTACGAGCCAGTGTTGAAGAGACTCCATCAACATCCGGTCGTCATCGTTCTCAAGAGTTAGGCATCGCTCGAACCACTCTCCGACGCATAATTCGTAAGGATTTGAAGATATACATACACAATTCAAATGGCTCATCAATTAACCCCAGCTGGTCATCCGTGTCGCTTCGATTTTGCTAAATAAATTGCCGAAAATGAATCTGACTTTTGGCGAGAAATCATGTCCGACGAGTCACATTTTTCGTTACATGGACGCGTAAATAAACAAAATTGTCGGTTTTATGCTACCGAAAACCCTCAATTAATCGAACAGCAGCCTCTTTATGACCAAAAGGTTACTGTTTGGTGCGGTATGTGCGCGAATATGGTCATCGGGCCGTACGATGATGGAGCTACGGTAACCGTCAATGGTGAGCCTTATCGAGCCATGATAACGACTAATTGTTTGTGAAAATGTCATGGACGATTACTGGTTCCAGCAGGATGGCGCCACATGCTACACAGCTCAAGCAACAATCAATTTATTGCGACAATTGTTCCCTGGACGACTGGTATCGAAAAATGGCGATTTTAAGTGGCCACCGAGATCACCTGATTTGACGCCACCAGACTTTTATTTGTGGAGCTATTTGAAATCCAAGGTATACAATATAACAAGCCAAGGAAAGGACTCTAGCTGCCCTGAAGAACAATATTCGTCAAGAAATTGCCGCCATATCCGCCGAAACATTGGCCAACGTGACAGAAAACACCGAAAAAACGGCACATTTTGTTATCAAGGCCACAGGTGGCCATTTGCGCGATATCGTTTTTGAAAAGTAATTACAACAAATCTCCTTGGATCAAAATAAAAGACTTTTCAAATGAACAACAAAAAATATTTTTTAATGTATTTTTTTATAAACAAATGCTTCCACTTTAAATGGCCCACCCTGTATATATATATATATATATATATATTGTGACGAAAAATATTTTTTAATGGTTTACATCTCTTATGTCATCATTGGCGATATTGCACCTGTCATTCTAACTTCCATCTCAATACTAATTGTACCGATTTTGACAAAACTTGAATACGGTGAATCATCACAGGTCTGAAAATGGATGTAAGAGCGAAGTTTGCATCTAAAAAAGGGCAGGCAAAAAATAAGAAAAAAGTAGTGATTTTTGGAAAAAACTTAAAAGTGGCGATATCTCGAAAGTAGACAATTTTTACTAAGGTCATGTTGATTTTATCTGATTGGTCTGAATTCAATATACCTCCCGTATCACTCTGGCGTGTCATTTCTGGGACACTCTGTATAAAAATATGTATAGCCTGCCATACCAAAAATACTGCCCTATGTTGCTGGCAGTTAGGAAATGCAGTAAAAATATTGTCCGTTTAGAAGCGGCATTGAAAGCCACCAATCCACACTATTTAAATCGACAAAGGTAGTTATTGTAATGCACAAAACAAAAAAGAGTAATCAAAGCTATTTTAATATATAATCTATTAATTTATTCTTGAAAACCGATCTATAGAGTCTATCTAGATAATAAAATTCACATACTCTTAAAATGTCTACACTTAAAAATCACAGAAAACAGTAATACAGATTTATAAAAAGTCTTATATACAGTGCAATAAGAAACATTTGAATAAGCACTATCCAAACTAATTGTCTGTATAAAATTACACTTGGAGTGATAAGACTTGTATATATAACTAATCAGGATTTTTAGAATTGGAATACCTTTAACATAATTTTCGTGACTTTGGAAGCGGTTGGCTGTATATCAGTAATACCATTTTTTATAAGTAAGTAAGTATCTACTACAAAAATATTCTGATAAATCATCCATATTCAAGTATAAAAAAATTACGATAAGGAGGCTGGGTGTTGACATCTATATTGAGTACTCATGCATGTTCTAGTAAAAAGCTGAAAATTATTTTCACTTTTCTTATGAGTGTCATCGCCAGATGATTCGTTGAAAAAAAGACATACGAACAAGTCATTTAGATTTTGTATAAACAATGTAACAGTTATGTATATTCAACGTTTCTCGGTTCCTAAAATTATATATAATTAAGAATAATACATAATACAAATAAAATGCTTTCAGTATGTACATTTACACAAATTACATGATCTGTCATAGATACGTATGTACTTTTGAAACTTATAAGCATATATAGTTCATTTTACGGTCAGGTCACACTAAAACTAGAAGCGTCACATATATCCACATCCCTCAGACATATAGTTTATTCACTGAAACAAAGCAGTTACATCATATTTAGTAAGTTTGAGTGCCAACCTTAATGCAAAATAGATCCTAAATTGGTACGTATAGTTTGATTTTCCCGGGTACATTTATGTTGGTGACAGTTTTCTGTAATGTGAAATTGTCGCAAAGCTCGCCATATAATTACGCCAACGGTTGTTGTTTATTAGTGTTCATTTTGGTTCTTCTTGCGGCAATATTTGCAGTTATTTTATAAAAACAGTTTTTTTCAAAACTTTGAGGAGTCCTAAGCATTTCCCTAAAATACCGAAACCTCTGGACCTGCAAGCAAAAAACTTCGTTATTTCTTTAACGAAATATTTTGAGACCGAACGAGATCAAGGAGCTCCATTATTGCCTTTACAGTCAGTAAGAGAGGTATTAGGTAGTAAATAGAATTCATACTACCTCTAGCGTTTACAAAACATACGCTCCGTAATGTTGGTTGCGGTCAGGCATCGAAGACAAAGAAGATTTTGTAAAACGTCCTAGGATCTAGTAGTTTCAATTAATGTAGCAACCATGTGCGTCACTGTCATTATTTGACGTTGTGACGTAACTGCTTTTTTTCGGTGAATAAACTATACATATTATGCAATCTGCCTCTGCACGCGAACGGTTGTTTGTGTAAGCACTCTACATACGTTCTTTAGCTTCATCTCGCCACCTTGAAATTGTTCTCGCTGATGTACGAGTATTTCTAGTGTATGATTGTCACCATCCGTGTGAGAACACAGCAATATCTGGAAATGCAACTAACGTACAATACCAATAGTTTATTACCAAAGATATTGGAAAGTTTTGAGAAAGTGAATGAAAGCAATGGTCCTTTATTAATCAATTCATGAGTGCAAGAGTCGCTGAGTTAATGGTCGGTTTGCCAATTTTCCTATAGAACTTCAGCACTGTAGATGCTCCAGTTAGTCGATTCGCTTATTTCGTAAGGAACTGATGGCGTAACCGCCAAAAACTGTGAAAAGAGCTATAAAACTTTACATATAGTAAAATTACTTTTATTGAGCAATTGTCTAAAATTGTAGGAAGTTAAAATTTACTCGTTTCAGATCTTTTTTTGAAGAAAGACATATAACATGAATGGAATTCAAAGATCATATGATTAAAAATAGTAAATATTATCAACCTATATCAATTCTAAGTCAAATTACATGCCTCAGTTAGAAATTTACACTGTTTGAATTACATAGTTGGGTTCTTGTTATACTTCCAATATATAGAAGGTATTTTTATTTTCGCCTGTTTTGCAAAGTGAATATTCTATAAACGAGTGAAAACAACGCCCAAAATTTGTATATTGGGTGTTCCTTAATAACGTGCTTATTATTATTTTCCAGGATATGATTCCTTAGTTAATTTTTTGGAGAACAGACATGTCTAGTGATATTTTTTTCTGGTTGGCAGTATCCATTTTGCCATTTTAAGAATAGTGTGAGAAGATTTTCATGCAGACACGTTCAAGCTAATATTAGTACAATTTTTTTTATAACAGATAACACAAGACACGTTTACAGGGACGACACTGGTTGTGCGATCAAATAATTGTTCACACTTTGTATCTTCTTATAACTTTCGAAAAATCTAAATAACATATAAAGTACTTCCGAAGATATAAACTAAAAACATTTTTTTTAATTCAACACCCTGTAGCTAAAAATATAAGCCCTTGCGTTCATATAAACTTTTCATCAAAGATTATTTGAGTAATCATATCATGAAGTATTAGCACATCATTAGGGAACACCCTGTATATCTTATATATCGAAAATGGTTGAATGAAAATAATAGTTCATATAGAGTTCAATAAAAAAATATACTTGTTTTCGAAAGATAGAATATTGCACTTGTACGCTATAAATTGACTCCCCTCTTAACTTTTTTATAAAAGTTATTTAGAGAAGTTATAGGGTCTAATATTTAAATGTTTTTAAGCTAAAGTGCTATAGACTGAATACAGTTGTATTTTTTAAAATACATATATATATATATATATATTATATACAATATACATTTATATATATATATATATATATTGTATATAATATATATATATATATATATATATATATATCCTTGAATGTCTTTGGGTAGAAGGCAAAGTTTTGCATAAGTACACTCTTATAACTTGAACTCGAGCCTTCGATGGTCTATGCCATCATCGTCTGGAGCTAAAAAACAATTTTTGAAAAATAGCAACAATAAGCAATTAGGAGGAAAAAATATAATTACTTACTAAGTCGGCGAGATTGTTGCTGAAATTGTTCTTAAATGACAGAAGAAGGGAATACATACTCAATGAACAAAAAACTGGACTGATGAGGTTCGATCAGCTATGTTTTTTTTTTATTATTTAACCACTGATTGATTTGGAGGAACTTGAAAATCTATCAGCTACTGAAAAATCCTTCGAAATTTCATTTTTCCTGATAACCTCCACATTATCCAACACGTGCCAGCCGACTGACACTCTACAGTGATTTTTTAAGTTAATCAACTGATGATATCCTCCTATTTAAATGTTAAAATTGGGGAAAATCGGTGAAATTGAAAAAAGCAAGAAAGTTTTTATAAGTTTCAAAATTTACATTACATAAAAAAAATCAAAAACTCATCGTCCCACGAATCTATAAGAAATCGCGGTTATCTACAACATAACAATGTAGCATCGCTCGTTTTTCAAAAAATGTTGAGGAAAATTGAGTCCGTAAAAAATTATTTAAGAAAAAACATTTTTGAGGTTAAGGACCCTTAGTCGCGACTTATCTAAACATTTGAATAAGGTGACTTGAACCAATGTACCTTAACTTGGATCGTTCCAGATTTGGACACGTTTAGGGGAAATTTTCATATGTAGTTTCGCCTATTGTTTTTGAGTTTTTGACCAAATTAATGAAAATAGGTTTGACAAACCATATATATTTGGAATCAGAAAAAAGTTACTATCGTTTTTATTAAAATTATACAGGGTGTTCTAATTGTAAAGTTACAACTATAATCGATAGCACTTTTCTCTATATAAAAAAGATACTGCGCGTGAAACTGTATGCTAGTTTTTTTAACGATTATAGAAAGAAGTTAGGGTGGGTCAATTTATAGCGGGACACCCTGTACAATGGACGCTAAACTGCTAGTATCTCAGTTTTATATGGGGGGAATGCAACTGACAACCCGACATAAGCAAGTGAGGGTTATGTATAGTGACAACCTCCGATAGTTTGACATATCCATACTTTCACAATAGCAGTTTTACACAGTCAAATAAATTCATGAATAAATTACCAGAAAAATTGATTAATCTCTTCAAAATAACAGGTATCAAAATTAGACCATCAAATCTATGAAGGCAAGCATACCAACACATATAATAACTTTCTGTGATACCAATATCAGGAAAAAAATATCCTGTATATATAGAGAACCTAACCTAGAAGAAACAAGATATTGATTGAAAAATTAAATCGTAATAAGGGACGAAATATGACATAATAAAATATCGCACACAAACGACACACAAAATTGCAATTTATTGGATTGTGTAAAGCAGTTATAAATTTGTCAGCGGCGTTTTCTTCCATAAAGTACGATAATAGGGCAAGCGGTCTTCGTACAAGACATTTTCATTTCAACTTGTACCGAATTTTTATAAACATGTACTCTCACTAAACTTATCTCCCGAAAAAACTTCACACCCAAGCCTACTTTCCAGTCAAAACGTCAATTTAGTCATCCTAAAAATTATTTGTATTTCAAAAACCGTATGAAGTTTGATCAACAAACACACAATCATAAAATAGGGCAGTATATTATACACATTTGAAATCCTTCAAACTATTCGTCAGTCTCAGATTTATCTTCCTTGGTTAGATCTCTCGAACCGAAGGGACTAGCCATTCGTTGATAGTGAGGCTTCAGAGTACTAAGAGGTCTTGTATAGTCTAAATGGTCGTACTGCATTTCTGAAAATAAAAGAAATATTTTACTTTCCACGAGTTATCAGCGAAAGTAGTTCAAAAAGTAAAATTATAGGTCTTCTGGATATTGGGAAAATCCCCGTTATTAATTTCTCTCCCCCGTCTAACAATTTTTCTTTTAGATTTAGATAAAATATATAATGGCTTGCTTTCACGTTTCGCATTAAGTTTATGAAGCAAATTCAAACCTCTGAGTAACACTTACCTATGGCAATTAATAAAAAAATGAGAAAAAAATATCTATTCATCAAGTTACGCTTATTTCCGTTTTGCAATACTTAGAACAACATTGATATTGTTTATATGATATCACAAAAGATTTGTTTTTTCTGTATCTCTTTTATATTTCGAAAATGGCTCTATAGTACTACATACCTAAATCCTTCATATCATTCTGCTTGATTTCATCGTAGACGTGATCTAATTTCTCTATGCTATGATAAATATTCGGATTTGTCGCATCTGCGTCTCGGTTTTTCAAACTCTTCAGTTCATCTACGCTTGGTTCATATACACCTAGAAGATTTACAGACGATTTAGAAAAATGTTCACGGCACTTACACATTAGTTCATTCCAAGACAAATGAGAGCAGTACCAAGTGCCAGATGATGCCAGGTTGTAACCCAAATGATGAATCGATGTTTTCCACAGAATAAGCTCAAATATCAGTTCTTTAGAAATGTGGCTTCTAAAACTAAGAGTTTCTAAACCGCCATTTTGAGTCTAGTCTGTTGACGAGCTGATTAGGTATCGCTTTACAGTATCGTCAAAAATTAGTGATATTCTTGCATTCAATTCCAACATATTCTTCAAGGAGATGACTAACCATATGCTGTATTTGGACATCCACTTACAACGTCCATTGTTACAGGCGTGTTGCCAAGTAGGATCGCGCCGCAAATTCCTTTAGAAGCAATAAAAACAGACTGCACTTTCCTTTTATAGGAAATTATTTATTCTTAATCACGACGTGAACCTTCAAAGGAAAGATCACCCCTCATCCTTCCTCGTCATTACCCCTAAGATCTCGTATTCTCAGAAGGTTTCATAATTTGCGGAAGCAACCATAGATCTGACATCGCTGACAAATAAAGCCGGCTATAGTTGTAAGCATGAGTGGATGACGGAGCCACGGTACATATGCTTTTTTTCACAAAGGACTTTCTATTGGATTGGGTATCTTCTGATAGAATATGTTTATCAATGACTCAACACATTCTCGGTAAGTCATATGTCATGTCCGGTTCTGGTTGGATTTGCCGAACCACCCCATCTTCGTTGTTTCACTGGCGACGTGTGACTTTTCCTAAACTGTTACCAAAAAAAGTTTATTTTGAACCTCCCAAATATAAGTTTTTTCTTATTTTAGGTATTTTATTTAAACTATTTTTAAATTAAGGTAAACATTCCTGGACTGAGCGTCTGGGGCACTTGATATGCCTCATCGTCTTATGCTATGACTAATCCAAGCCGTCCGAAAAAACAGTCGACGTTTCTAGATGTTCGGAAAATTTTTGATCTTTTTTGGCAATGAATGTTAACAATTCCCTGTAATTTCCTCTATTGTCAGAGTCATCGTCCGCTTCAAAATGAACGGTAATTCCTGTTTTTGCCAAATAACATACGGTATCTAGAAGTGTGCTGCCTAAAAGCTTGGTTAAGACAACTTTCGATTCTTGTTTTGCCAAACTGAAGTAAATTGGCTACACATCTCACATGTAACGGAGAAATTTCATGTCTATTTAAATCGTTGACTCCGCTGCTGGTCCACCCATTTTTTTTCCTGTATAAAACAGAAGACATCGCCAACAATACAATCTGTTTTTTTTGCAACCACATAACCAAGAGTTTCCATATACCAACTTAATTTAAAATATCAAACTACGTTTTTTTATTCCTTTTTAAAATTATCTAAAATAGGTGTTGGTCTTCCCTTTTCAATGATCTCCTTTTTTCTTAAAAATTATACAAGGAGAATGACTTTTCAAGTAGTTGATCGATTACGCAGCGACACTCATCCATCTTTGATTGCACGCACACTACAGCCGGTAACCAAAACGGACTGATGAGTGAGAAGTGAGTAACCAAATCAAAAAATGGTGACAAGCCCACATAATAGTCGCAGCGCCCCACGCACTCGGTCGGCTGCGATCAGACCCGAGCCGGTACCGGAGGTCCCCGACGGACTACCAAGTGTACCCATAAATGAAAATGGTAACAACCGACAACCAAGTCGAGGCGAGTCAGCTTCATCGTGTTCGCAAAACCTAGATACTATACGGCGCATTATTTTCGTGGGGCTGAAATTACTATTTTATATTGCTGTTGGTAAACAAATAAATGAAATTATTACACAGTATTTACTCATAAAATATTTATTTTCAATATTTTTACCTGTTACCAATGGTAACAATGGTTACATGGACGCTTCGCCACTGCGTTGTTTCCATGATAAGGGGGCAAGTCGGTTGAAATGTGCAATTCGGACTTTACCGCGTGGTGCCTTCTGAATTTTGTAGAGAACATCGTTGATGGCTTCCAGAATTTTATATGGCCCGTCCCAGGATGATTGAAGTTTATGCGACAACCCTTTTCGCCTCTTTGGGTCGTAAAGCCAAACCGTATCACCGTTGTCATACCCCTGGTCTTTGGCATTAACGTCATAAGCTTCCTTCATCCGGTCGCTGACACCTTGAATTGAAACACGAACCTGGTTGTGGATCGCGTCCTTTCTTCTTCGCACCTCACTTACGTAGTCTTCTCCGGCGATATCAGTTCCTGGTGGACAGCCAAACTTTAGATCGCATGTGAAACGAAGTTCTCTTCCAATAACTCTCCTGTGCTTTCATGAATCGACGATCGGTAAGCCAATAAGAAGAGGTGAAGAAAACTATCCCAGTCTCTTTGATGGTTAGAGACTACCTTAGCCAAATACCGGTTAATGGTCCTATTCATGCGCTCCACCATTCCATCTGACTGCGGGTGTAAGGCAGTAGTCCTGGTCTTCTTAATCACAAGGATTTGACAGATATTTTGGAACAGATTTGACTCGAAATTGCGCCCTTGGTCCTAACGCAACTCCAAAGGTACACCAAATCGACAGATCCATTCCTTTACTAAAGCATCGGCTACCGTAGATGCTTCCTAATTTGGAAGAGCGTATGCCTCAACCCACTTGCTGAAGTAATCCATTACCACAATGATGTATTTATTCCCTGCTTCACTTTCTGGAAAGGGTCCCGCCACATCAATAGCAATCCTTTCAAAGGGGCGCCCCACGTTTTATTGGCGCATCGAAGCTTTTGGTTTCCTTTGCGGTCCATTACTTGCCGCACACACAACGCATTTTCTGCATCAGTCTTTTACGTCCTCCTTGCTATTGACCCAGTAAAATATTTCCCTCACTTTTCCCAGGGTTTTTGTAACTCCGAGATGACCTCCTGACACACCGGAATGGATTTCTTCTAGCAGCTCCGGGATCCGACATCGGGAGATAACGATTTGTCTTATTTCCTCTTTGCCGTCGTGGTCCACCATTTTACGCAGTAAGAGTCCGTCATCCATAACGAGAGAATTCCATTGTGCCCAATATGATTTCATGGGAGGGGAATACTTGGCAACTTCTTCCCAGGCTGGTTTCCGATGTTCTTTCATCCAGTTCAGAAGTATTTGGAGATCGGTGGTTCTTAATACTTGGGCGACTTTCTCCTCTGCCCGCTGGCAATGCTTACAAACAGGGTCTCCATTTCCATGGATTTTTCCTGCTCGATGTTCGATGCCGAAGTCAAACTCTTGCAGCCTCTCTATCCATCTTGCAACTTGAGCCCCTAGATTCTTAAACTGTAGAAGCCATTTTAAAGCTGCGTGATCGGCCCGGAGTAAGAATTTTCTGCCATAGAGGAATTTTTAGAAATGTTACATTGCCTTTACGGCGGCCAGCAACTCCCTCCGAGTAACGCAATAGTTTCGCTCTGGTTTGGACAGTGTTTTGCTAAAATACCCAATGACCTTTTCTTCTTTGCCTTCCTGGACTTGGGATAATACAGCTATGCCCACATTGCTAGCATCAGTGTCTAACACAAACTTTCCTTCTGGCAGTGGATAGCTGAGTATAGGGGCGCTTGTTAAACCTTCTTTCAAGTGGGTAAAAGCTTGTTGGCAATCCTGATCCCATTGGAATTTGCGTTCCCCTTCTGTCAGCCTGGTCATTGGCTTTGCGATCTTAGCAAATCCTTCCACGTAACGTCGGTAATATGTACACAATCCTAGGAAGCTGCGTAGCTCACGTTTGGCCTTCGGAACTGGCCATTCTTTTACAGTCAGGATTTTCGCCTTGTCGACCGCGACTCCCTCATTGGAAACAACATGGCCAAGATACTGCACAGCTCTTTGAAACAGGTGGCATTTCTTTGGGCTTAATTTCAAGCCAGAACCTCGTAGCCTTATGAAAACTTCCTCTGGGTTCTTCATATGGTCCACCAATGATTTTCCCACCACGATAGTGTCATCAAGGTAAACCAGGCACGTTTTCCAGGATAGTCCTCTTAGAATCGTGTCCATCAGCCTTTCAAAAGTGGGAGAAGCATTGCACAGGCCGAATGTCATCACATTAAACTGCCATAATCCGGTGCCCACCGTGAATGCTGTCTTCTCCCGATCTTCAGGGGGCAATTCTACTTGCCAGTATCCGCTTTTTAGGTCTAGGGTGGAAAACATTTTTGACCCAGCCAGGGTATCCAGAGTGTCATCAATACGCGGTAGAGGGTAGCTGTCCTTCTTGGTCACGTTGTTTAACATTCGTTAGTCCACACAAAATCTGGTTGAACCATCTTTCTTTGTAACCAAAACTACCGATGAGGCCCATGGACTGTTGGACGGTTGAATGATTCCCTCGTTGGCCATCCTGTCTTCGATCTTGTCAGCCTCCTTTCTTTTAGCAAGTGGGAGCCTTCTTGCCATCTGCCGGATGGAGCGGGCATTTTCCGTATTGATCTTGTGCTGGACTAGATTGGTTCTTCCTTTTTGTCCAGTATCGAATACATCCCGATACTTATGTATTAGATGTTTCAGTTTCTTTCTTTGGTCTTCTTCAATGACACAGGGTAATGACTGACATTCATTAGTCTCACAGGAAAAGTTTTATCGGCACGCACAAGGGCCTTTGCAACTGCTATCCCTCGGCCAATAGCCTCGTCATGCATCCTAGGTTCAAACATGACTATTTCTCCGTCTGTACTCTGACCCTCTACCGAGCCATTCAATATAACTTCGCTTCGTTCTGGGATTTCGGTGTCTTCAGGCAATAGAAGTCGTACGTTTCCATTCCTTTCCGAGTTTAAAATGACCTCCTCATTGTTGACAAAATTCCTTGCTTAGAGTTCAACTCGACGCTCTTTGTGTCCATGATGTCCATTCTGATGATTACCTGGTCCTCAATATCAGCTACTAGCGCCGGATGTTCGAATGTAGCTTTTCCTATTCCAAATGCGATGTTTACTTCACCGTACACGTTTGCTCCGTCTCCCGTCGCCGTCCGTAGTCGCCATTTGGATGGTCGTATCTTCGCCGATGCTTTCACCATGTCGGGTCTTATGATAGTCTTTGTCGCACCTGTATCCAGCTTTACGGTGTGGGGAGTCCCATCCACAAAAGCATCGACAAAAACACTATTAGACTGATGTTTAAGAGAGGAGACTTGGACCGACCTCCCTTAGTTTTCCGGATTGGCCGGATGAGGACTAGAACCTTCAGGACAGCGTCTCCTAACGTGCCCTATTTTTCCACATTTCCAACATTCCAACTTGCTGTTCTGGCGGCGACGTTCACCATCAAGTTCCTCAAAGATGCGGTTGACGGACTCTTCGAACTCGTTATCTCGTGGTACCATTTTTCGGACTCGGATCTGGCTTTTATCGTGTTTTTAGCGGCTTCGAATTCCAAGGCCGGAGTTAGCGCATCTACTAGCTTAGGTGGATGTGCTAGTGGTAAGACTTGCCGCATCTACAAGCTTAGGTGGATGTGCTAGTAGTAAGACATGCCTCATTTCACCATCATGAAGTCCATCTAGGAATGCTTGAACTGCCAATCGCTCCATTATCCTTTCCTGAACATCGGGATATGCTCATCGTACCAACCGCGCAATATCCGCTTCGAACTCCTGCAAGGAGTCGCCTGATTTCTGGAACCGATTCTTTAGTTGAGTATGGTAGACATGTTCTAAATGTGACTGGTCATATCGCATCTCCAGATGTCCAACTAGTTGTTCGTTGCTCTTCGGGTGATATTCTTTGAAGAATAGCTGTAGCATCTCCTCGTAGGGCCAAAGTGAGTGCAGTTTCCTTTTCGGTCGATGACATCGGTAGACATTCTAAGGCGTTGTACCATCAAATCGCGGCGGTTTCATTCGCATACCCAACGCAGACCCAACAGAAGCTCGAACCTCACTTAAAGTCGACGCTGTCGTTCGTCGATGGTATTGACCTATAAAGCGGCAAACTTGCCTTACACTTCTTGAATTCTGTCCTCCAAAGTTTCTAAAATCCGTTTTTCCAACTCGCAAGATTTTTCCATACTTTTATCTTCCAATTATTTTTTTAAATTGGCAGAATTTTCCAAAAACTTGTCTTCTAATTTGGCTGTATTTTCCACGAGCTTTCCTTCTAGGTTGGCACAATTTTCCACGACTTCCTTGTAGGTTGGCACAATTTTCCACGAGCCTTCCTTCTAGGTTGGCATAATTTTCCACGAGCCTATTTTCTAACTTGATCGAAAGGTTTTGTAGCATTAAACCTATATCCCCTGCACCGGTGAAAATGACATTATCTGAGTCCTCGCCTTCTTCAATCAGTGCTTTACAAAGCTGCTCCTGTAATTTTGCTTTCTTTCCAGCCGTGTCGCACTCTCTTTCCTCCAGCTCTCTTTTTAAATCGGCAATTCTCGGCATTCTTCCTTCACTAATCTCCGATTTATTTTCACTTAATGTCCAATAATCCACACCCCACACCTGACACCAATGTAGCATTTTTCTGGGTTCTTTTGGATGTGGATTAAAACACTGAATTCCGCAAAAATAAATGCACTAATTTATTTATTTTGACTAGATAGAACATTTATGTACACCACTATTTATGTCACTCACCCCCCTCGCGCCCCCTCAGCCTGTGACCGTCCAGGGGTACAGACGTTTCATTTTGCACCAGTTGTTACCCGGGACTTCGTACGCTTTAAACTGTTACACATAAAATTTTGTTTTTAAGTAATGTGTTGTATATTTAATGTGATTATTAAACAGATCGACGACTTACATGCTTGCTGAATTTGGTTACTTGGTGACGCCATCTACACGTCTCGCGGGTAAAATCCGGGACATAAAGCTAAAAATCAATATGTGCCTCCCGGTGTCAGTTATGCACTGTTGGTAACAGTACGTCTGTTGACATTCAGAATTATTTTCACCAAATATTGAATAACTGTTTTCATTCTCAGATGACTTGGAGTGTAGTCTTCATCATTAGCTGCTTTATCAGTTGGTATGTTTTATTGTATACAAAAAAATCCCTAATTACTTTATGGAAAATAACTCACACAAGATCAACGGCGTCGCTATGAAGTACGAGATACGACTCGATTACTTGACGATATGAGGTACTTTTAATGTCGGTTGTTAGTTGCCATGTCATATTTTGACGTATTAAAGTATCAAGATAGATAGTGCATAATATCTTAGAAAATAAATGTTAGAACATACGAGTATACAAAAAATGTTAATATTTTTAGTTTGCAAATAGGCAACAAACATATATTCTATTGATCAACCTCAAGTTATTTGAAGTTATGTCATAACAAAATAAAGCTTAACTTATCACTAAATACAAGTTAAAGGCAAAATCCAAGCAAATATTGGCCAACGTAACGTTTTGTTTGAATGCAGTAACATTGATTGAACTGAAAGCATAGTTAGTAACACCCACACCTCACACGATTAAATGAGATATTCTGACAACAACATTGTGCAAATTTACGAACCCTTGGCATTATCATCGTCATCAGTGGAACAACACGCGATTCCCAAACGAGCTCTTTCCAAGTTTGTATTCGTTGGTTTATGCAGATTATTGAAGATTTTATTTGAATTGTTCAATAGATGCTCATTGTCTCGTTTGCCGCCACTCTGATACGAATAGACTGGATTATCGAAGTGATTGCGATCTAAAACAGAAGGAAACATTAAAAGTTACGTATATTCTGGTTATCCGTAAATACGTTTCTTATTACAATTTTTTTTTCCATGACGATGATCAAATGTTTACCTAAAAATGAAGATTGACTCCTATCTCGCCCAGTCACGGTATGCTCGATACTCGCATTTTTTGTACATACATCGTGTATTGGCCCTGTACAATAGTCACCTGAAGCGCTAGTAAACCATGTCTTTCATACTCGACCCTCACCATTAGGATTTTGGAAAGATAGGGAGCCGTTTAATATAGGCAAACTGGCGTATTTAGGTGTAATTAAGAAAATTTCACTTGAAAGTTTCGCAATTCAGTGTATTTTCGGCTAAAACACATTTTCCCAAAAAGGTTTTTATATAGTACTGACTTTATTTTCGCTGGGATTTCAAAATAAATTGCACATTAAAGATGTCAAGAATTCTCCTCTTCAAGGTGGTATAATTATAATTTTAATCTGACTTTTCATTTCTTATCCACATTCATAGAAACTGAAACAATGATTGCCTATATACATATATTATGAAATTATACATATATACAATGAAATTATAATTATGTCATTTCATAATGGACAAAAGTAGCAACATTAATATGCTATTTATTTTGAAATACCATTCCCTTTCTGTTATTTTTTTGTCTGGTTTGCACTTGAACATTTCAATGCTCCATTAAAATATCAGAAAAGTAATTGAATTTTCGGATTTATAAAATATTTTCGTACCAAATTTAAAATACAATATTGATGGCACCCAAATATCCTTTAGTGTAACATATCTCATAAAAAAACGTGTCAGGTAGATAAGGAATTAAACAAGTAAACCCGCCAAAATTGTGTAGGTTTGACAATCCCATTGTGATGCCACTTTTGATAAAGCATCGTATACAACTTTACTCTCTTCTTAGTAGCAGTTTTTTTCATATCGAAATGCGATAGTAGCGCTCCAAGTGGCCATTATGCTGACTCAGCAATACCGGGTGCCGGGTGCGTTTTGCACGTGTACAATTAGAAGTTGATGACGATCCAGAAGCCCTATGCTCAGTGGATCCTCGAGACTTTCTTTTGAGGGCTTCCATAAGGGGAACCTTGAGGGTGCGTATTACTTGAGTAGTATCTTTTGCAACGTGGCATTATTTACCGATGCATCCAAATGTTGGCGAATGTCAACCTCTTGAGGTTAGTTGAATTTCTCTAAGTGTCACGGGTTCTATTTTTTAAATGGGTATATTACATCAATTTTAGCTAAAATCTAAATGTATGGAACAGAAAATTCTGGGAATGGGAATATCAATGTCCGCCTCTTCAAAAATCACAAATATCATTGTGTTATATATCCGTTGACAATGCATTATATATTCCATATTTTTCTTATATTAATTTGTAATTGGAATTTGCAATAGCATTCCTCAGCAAACAGCAGAAAAAGCAGGGAATAAGTAGAGCTGCTTGATGACAGTGAAGATTTCTGGATTTAAGAAATATAGCTATCAAAAGCTACTAAGGCTTCTGTTTCCTTTTTTATTCTGGAATGCTTTCTAAGAGATAGCGTTCTTACGGAAAGTTTCACCTCTTTCGTCAATAAGTAAGCAAATGATCATAAGGGGTGTTTCATCCCTGAAAATGACCAAATTTCAAGTTGACTGCAGCTATGAAAATTTTGTACTAAAGTATTCCAGAATAAATAAATAAATATATGTATATATATGAAAGACTTGTCTTTGGGGATATCGACAAATTAAGCAAAGTGTACCCTTCCGACTTGCTGTCCTCTTCAGGAGCTAAACATAAAATTGAAAATAGTAAACAGCAAACCATGCTCAATTAATTATCATTTAATTACTTACTTCGTCAGTGAGATTGGTCTTAGTGTCAGATGTATAAAATTGTGTTTGGGAACACATGGATAGATGACAAAAAACTGGATTTACACAGATCCTTTTTTAGCAACGGTGGAGAAAATAATTATTATTTGATGATGAAATATGTATGGATTTTGACGAACATTCTTGATTAAATAAAAACTGTTAAAACTTTACAAATTCGCAACATCTTGGGCTAACCTAGAATTATTGGTGTGTTCGAGAGATTAGTGTTTTTGTGTAATGTTGGTACTATTTGCAGGTACCTATGGCCCAACTAACAATTGTCACTCCTATTAGAGTTGCAAAAATGATTATACAGTATTCCTTACACAGCATTGTATACTGTAAGAACATTGGCTAAACCCTCTTAGAACAGCTATACAAGCGGAATGGGCACACCTAATAGGACACTTCAGTCATTTAATAGGTTGTATAAGGGCTGCAGGTAACATTTATACAACAAAAGTGTAAGCCCCTTGCAGCCGCTATAGGACATTTGCGTCAGTGCAAGATTCCGTTTTTGTCAACTATACAACTATTCTGTTACGTGATTCTACTTTATTGCAACCAAACTATTTCTTATGTATTGCATAGACGAAGTGAAGAATATATAACTAACACATTACAGTCATCTTGTTTACTTACATATCGGCCATTGTGAATTTCATACACAGGTATATGATAAACTTCTACACTTTGATATAGGGCCATTGAATTACTTGCGCAGCAAATTTTTTTGTGATGATCGTGCAAAGTACTTACGCAATTTCTACGGGCTTCTTATTTCATGCATATTATGATAATGATCAAAAGTATGTCTAGATTTTTAAGATGGAAAACTGAACTTATCTGCGTCAAATCTTCCACAAATCCTATATTTAGACACAATTACACTAATGTTTATCACTTTATATCTGTAATTTCGTACTGAAACATAATTATTTAATAGTAAATAGAGGAATAAATGTTTGCCCAATATGGCTGGTAGTTGTGTATAATCATGGCATCGTCCATTTTGTCTTCAGTTTATTAGAATATTTTGGAGTTGCCTGCAGGTGTTACACAACAATTTGACAAATGTCTGAAATGAAATACCGACAGAGTCCAATGATTTACCCAGAATTTGTACCAGATCTATATCTTCTATTTGAACAGTTGATAAAACCTTTTGAACCAATATACATGCGTTCTTTGTCTTAAATCATTGGTTCTGGCATTTTAACAACAATATGACAGCAGAAAGTTAGGTTATGGTGAAGTTGTATACCGACATATTAAGCATATGTACAGCCTTTAACAGTAACTAAACAACAGTTGTATAAGTGCTTCCGTTGGGAGCAACTTGTTGGCTAAAGTAGTAATTTGCACAGCAAAACAACAAGGCTCTGGTTTGTTTTATAAATGTTACCATGGATGCCACAACACAACCATTTTGACTAACGTGCAAATATGCCGTATAAAATAGTTTTATAAACGTTTATGCAACAGTTAAAAAATTGTCCCTTAAGGTGTTGTATCACTATGCTAAACAATATTTTAAACACCTCATTTTAGAGCAAATATGTTGCAGAAAGCAAATTTGCATTCCACACAACATTAAGCCAGCATTTTGGTGTTCAGGCAACAACAATAGAGAGCTTTTATGGCTGAATCGTTCTTTTACCAAAAGCTTATAGCACTACTTTGCTAGTTGGGGGTGGGGATCAATTATCTTTGTTTAGTCTGTTACCAACGTAAGGCAGAAAGTGTGCAATACCTTATTAAGAGTTGAGAGAATTGAGAGTTACCACTTGGCAAAATTGGTTGATGTTAAAGACCTGTCATGGTGAGAAGGGGGGAAACCAAATTATTTTTTTCGAAAACTTGTTGAATTTATCTATTGAATTGTAGTACTTGTTATTGTGATAGATCAATAGATAAATTATTTTGATTCTTCACAATCATAAATGGAATCTGGTTTTTTATCTATTCCATTTTTTTTCCTCCAAAATTCCATTCCATTCAAATATTAATAATTAATGTTTTACTCATAATAAAATAATTGTTAGATTGTCTAGCTTAGTAATAATATAGTTTGTTCAACTGCCTCTGGTCATTGACAAGTCTTCATTTGGCATATCTTGAAAAAGCACACCTTCTCAAGTGATTTGGCAACATAGCACAAAATTTACACACTTTCGTTCCATCCATCGACACTGACACTACCAGCCTTCTGTCATTTGTCATATGTTTCATGCTACTTATGATCTTGTCCTACACCATCTTATGCAGCATCAAGTGGTTGTTTCACGATGTAAAATGTCAATAATTTCAAATTTCATTCCAAATATTTTTAATCCATTGTAATGTGTTCCTGACATACAGCTGTGTGCGTTTTTTACCATTTTTAACTAGTGTACCATGGATCCAGCTTTCACCAGATTTCTAAATGTTTCCCTCAACTTAACCTTTAATAACATTTAGCAACAATCTCACATACTATTGTAAGTAATTTAAAATCATTTGGTACAGTAGTTGCTATTTCTTCCTAATGTTATTGTAGCTCCTGAAGATGATGGTATAGCCCGTCGAAAGCAAGAGACTAATAAAGGATAAAGAGTCCTCATCGCTTTAATCTAGTAAGTATCTTTGAATTTCTCTGGGACGTAGGAAACGTTTTGCAAAAGTACACTCTTCAACTTCGAAGTATATATAGTATCCTTGTAATTTCTTTGGGACGAGGGCAAAGTTTTGTAACGTACACTCGTTTAACTTGAAGTCAAGCTTTCGACAGTCTATGCCGTGGTAAAGATGAAAAGGTTTCCGGAAAAGATGATTGTTCGAAAGAATTTTCAATAGTTAATAAATCTTCTAATTCTTCTAAATCCGTTAGTGTTTTTTTGAGAAAAATACATAGCTATGGTTTTACCCAATTGAAGAAGCTGTTTTCAATGAAATTGAAGCAAATTCTCATAGCAGTACTCGAAAAATAGCTGAAGAACTGAATATTACCCATGTCACAGTGTGGCAGATTTTAAGAGCCCAGCTGCTAAAGCGATATCATACGCAAAATGTGCAAAACCTCTATTGCTCAGAGATTTGTCATCAAGTCTAGCCTTTTCTGAATGGTTACGCAGTGAAATGATAAGGAATCAAGATTTATAAGTCGAATATTATTTACAAATGAAGCTTGTTTTACTCGCTATTCAATTATTAACTTCCACAATAATCGAATTTGGGCCGTAAACAATCAACACGCCTTAATAAAACATATTTTTCAAGAACAGTTGCTACAGTTTCTTATGGTCGACTAAAAATTAACTACATCTTGATAGAATAAATTTTTACAATGTTTTGGAATAATAATTTTATAGCAGTTCGCAAAAACATCGAGTTTCATTTTTATAACAAACCACTTCTCTATTTAATAATGTTGTGGTAGAAAATCGTACTCGCCTCTCCATCTCGTTGGAGGTCATTTTTTATAATTTCTGTCGCCCGTAAATACGACAGCTGAATGTGACTGGGTACTATTTCCGGCGCTCTGGTGTAGAAATTTGTCTGCGGCCCACCACCCGATTTTGT